ATTTACGCATGATCTGGCTTACATGGAATGTTTTTTGACGTATTTAGATTTACAAATTAAAAATGATCCCATTTGTATGCAGTAAAAATGTATCAAGATCAGCCAGTCCAGTTTCTCTTTAAAAAAAGATCTACCTGTAAAAAGCAGAGCCATTGTTTTTCACAGCTAGAGAGATCTTTCTTTTGCTTTCCATGCTCTTTTATACTTCTCCTTTACCTCACTTAGCTCCAACCCACACATCAGACAATAGCAATATTTGGCATTTGGAAGTTGCTGTTAAGAGAAGAGATTGGACCTTTACAAAAGTTAATCCCCTCCAAACAATCTCACAGATTGTGTTGCAGAGAGCTTTAAAAATGTTCCTTGGCTTTAATTAAAGTACTTATTAGTCTTATAAGTATCACAATTTACTTCATGGCTTGGGTTTAAGAAGCAAAAACCTTGCAGCCATTGGAAAATATTAGTATATTTTTTACTTTAATTTATTACTCAGGCAACAGAAACAGACAAATGTGATGCCATGGTTACATAGATCCTTGGTTGTTAAAATCTAGGCCTGTCCAGCTCCATGGATACAGCATAGCTCTGTGGTTAAGGGTGTGATTCCCACTGGTGCCACCCCCTCTAAATAAATGTATTTTGGTTCTCTGCATCACGGTTGAAAAACAGCAATCTGAACTCTGGGACTATGTTCACATACAGTAAAACATACCATAGGAACTCTGTTCGACTATACTGATTACATTTTACAATTAGAAGTCTTGTTGCTTTTTTAGAGTCACACAGTGCATTCAACGTGTAAGGACAGTCTTGCATTTTTGTTGGCTTGGAAATGAAACAGTGAGCAAAAGATCACATTTAAATTATCTTTAACCAAAAACAGGGAGACTTGTATAAAATTTGCTTCCATTTCAAACCCAATGTGCAAAGTAGAGTCAAAACAATGAGACATATTACTGTTATAATACTTTCTGATTGATTTTTTTATTTGTGGCTCAGACAGAGGTACAGTTGCTCAAAGACGTAGTATAGAAGACGTTGTATTGGACTACATTACATTGAAATGTGTCTTTTATGTCCATTTCATTTACATCCCACCGGGGGATTAAATACTATAAATCCATCCGAATATACACTCCAGTTTGTTAGGAACACCTAGCTTAAACTAATGCAGTCTAATACAAAAGCTCTGCAATATATCCTACCTTCATGAAGGTCCTAATGTTCAGTTTTTGTTCCATCTGTTTTACAGAGATGTTGATTCATCTTGATGATCATTTTGGAGCTTGTAGTTTGTGCTATTATTCGATTGTATTGAGTTATACTGAGAAGTGTTTCTCATATTTAGACTGGTCATACTGTCATACTGTCATTAAAATTGAAGTGATAAAAAATAATAGAAACACTTCTAAAGGTTGAGGTCCAGCAGTGGAGTCACAGCTTCCAGCAGCAGAAAATTAGGTAATTATGTTCCTGCTAGTGTGTTAATGAATTTTTACTGATTACTAAAGTAGCTGCTTTCTTGTGAGCTGTTAGCAAAGATCAAAATTCCATTTGTTACAGACATATCTGCACCAAATCCAATGTTGAGTTTCTTTTTTTCAATAAATGGCAGTAGGGGTAGAGATACAGTAATATATAAGATGGTGCCACTATTTTGCTCAGACTTTGAGCCCTAAGGGTCCACAAGGTTTTGCAGTGATCAGTTTATAAAGGATGATATTTTAAAGTATTTTTAAACTGTAGACTTTTGAAAACTAGCATTTGGATTAGAGTTTGGCTGGAGTTTTGTTCATATGAAGCATGCAGCAGAATGTAGTGTTTGTAGTGATATTACTCTGAAACAGATGGGGCCATGTTGTGTGGAATGAACCTGAACTCCCACTTCTTTTGTATTTATAATTTAGTTTTTATTGCTTTTTTACATGACCTCAGCAGTGCAGGGTTATTGCGTAACTAGTTTGGTAGATCCAGCTCTGGCTCGAGCTAAAATGAAGTAAACAATTGACAACAAAACAGGAAACTACCCATTGTTATACATGTTTCTTGTGACTCTTTTCTGCCCTTCAATATGGCATTCGATGCTAGATGGTGACATCAGACCTCAATAATGCGTATAACCGTGACCAGCAGCGCCTACTACAGCCTCAAAAATGACCGCACAGTTCAGTTCAGTCATATTGGATTGTGATTAACTGATAACTGAGTGTATGCATTGATACTAAAGCTTGTAATTGTCAGGTCTGTGTGTTTTTCTACATGAGCTAACATATGACTTTATTTATTCTTACAGAGTCACTACACGCGAGCTCAAGCTAACAGCCCCCGCCCTATCATGACCTCATCAGGCCCAAACCCAAAAGGTTCCCAGGGGACGCTGGCTTCCCAGCAGCAGAGCCAATCACAGCCAAGCCAGCAGCCAGCTAGCCAATCACACAACTCGCCCGTTGGCAGTGGTCGGGAGCAGAGAGAGCAGCGCAGCTCTCGCTCTTCCAGAAGGAAAGGATCGGATAGCAGTGTTCCAGAGGAGGACAAGGACAGAAGAGAAGAGACCACCAGAGGTGAGGACAGTCACCATCAAACACTCAAATTTAAGGCCAAAAGATTTGTGGCTTCTTTTAAATAATAATTGTGGTTCCACAAACACAAAACAGGCTACATAAAAACATATTTATTTCACTCCTTAATATGGTTGTGAAAAGGTCAACCTGAAGAGGTTTACCATTTACCAAGAGGAGTAATGGTAAATGGTAAATGGA